TGCCTTACTAGTAACAAGAAGCTATTAGAAACAATAAGCTACTAGTAACAAGTGCATCGCTACTAGTAACAAGTGCCTTACTAGTAACAAGAAGCTATTAGAAACAAGAAATAAGAAAATGAGAACTCGGAATGAGAGATGGAATGAGTGGACCACTAGGTAGGAGGCCATCGCTATTAGGTTGGAGGCGTTCGCTCTTAGGATGGAGGCCATCGCTACTAAGGTGGAGGCCATCGCTATTAGGTCGGTTCAGTCTCGGTTGCTCTGTGTCTAAGCTCCCTACGAGTCGGGTACTGTAGCGACCCAAGAGCGCTTGAAATAATTTCAAGACAATCGACATGATGTGACTGCAGTTCAGCATGTTTCCATATTGAATTTGCGGATCTGAGGTGCATGTAAGAGCATGTCTAGCTGTTGCGTTGTTTTTCGTTATTAGTTCAATCGAACCAGACAAAAAGCGAGAGCTGGCTTGAACTTCTTAATGAGGTCCCTCTTGAGGGTTTCCCCCGGTCAAAGTCAAGGTGAGTTTTTTGCAGGTGGACTGTATGAAAAAGCTCCTAGTAGCGTCCTTGCTCCTAGAAGCGATGCCCCTTGCTCCTAGCTAGTAGCGAAGAACAGTTTCAAAGACTCAAAGTGAAAAGACTTCATTGTTTTTGACATACTCCCGTCGCACCTGCCCAGCGGCACACTGCGTATCAAAAGCTAAAACCTATGAACATACTGTTTATTCGCCACGTGAAAGTAAGATTGTTAAATTCAAAATTGATTTGTTTGTCCAAGCACTGCTTTCTTGCTGCATATTCTACCACAAGGGATAGCGACCCAGGATGAAGACAATGCCGGCTATAGAAGAAGAGCCGTGTCCACCTGGAAAATTAGTAATAGGCCGTTGTAGCCAAAGACCGACCACATGCCCTGCACTTTCTATGCATGCAAGATTCCTGAAATAGTGGCCAAACGCAAGAGCTGGTGCGCGTATCAAATTGCATTGCATATTCATGAATTATCATCTCAAACTTCATCTTTCATAGTTTACGAAGCCATGTCATAGCATCAATTCCTTTCAGTGAGGGGATGTGAGGGGTTTGTTCTTGAAATTCTTGGGAGAAAAGCCGCCTACATGGTTTATGATGCATTAGGCATCAGCTGGATTACTTGAAACGTTTTGCTCCAAAATATTGTTCCCAGTAGAACGGCCAGGAGCCCCTAGTAGCGTCCTTGCTCCTTCTCCGGAGAACTGGACCAAGACTATCCCCGGACCGAAAGGTGGCCTCGGTGGATTTTGATGGTGAGCCCTGCCGGGTGCGATTTACGGACGGTGCATCAGGACGGTGTGAAAGAATGGACGGAGAATGGAAACGACAAAAGAAATGTGGAATGGGAAGAGGGAAAGAGATGGGATAAACGATGGGAAACCGATAAAGAACAGAACAGAACGACAGCTCAGCCCTTTATTGCACTCGGATCATATCATGGCCTGTTGGATGTGTTCAGCTTGTTCGTAACAGCAACAAAAGAATGTGAAACGGGAAACCAGAAACTTCAACATAAACATCCCAAAATGCAAGAGAAGAAGGGACCAGTGCAGAACGGTGTCCAAGATGTTCCAAGGCAAACTTGTCAACCAATGTTGAATTTCAACATTGTGCTTTTAAGCCACTCCACATGAGGAGCCAAGTTTGATGCAATGCGAGACGCTGCAATCCATTCAGCTCATGTTCCAGCCCTAATTGGCCGGCTACGCAAACGAGAGAGTATTTGACGAATGTTTGCAAGTATAAAGCCAAACTTTGTAAAGTACACCACACGGTGTTGTTGTGTTTGTTTGTTGAGGTGATTCTTTTGTGTTTCCGACCCGACCGACCAGACACTTTGGTAAGCATCGAGAAGCATTGGTTGTTTGAATCTTAGATTATTGATTGAATCAAAAGTGACCGTTTTGTCGAACCACCATACCAACAAACCAGGCAGTTTTCTCTGCAATGTAGAGCACTGATTGTCCGTTCTGTGCTTGTTCAGGCCCAAACTTTGGGAAATGCAGGTGGAAGCACCATGGCTCCTTGTTGCTCTAGCCACTGATATCCGTGAGCGCTGCAAGGTGCAGTGGATTGGGTTGTGGAGTTGCGCTTTCACTCGGTTTGAAATGCCTGTGCCACTTCAAGATATTTCACTACTTAAAGTTTGGGCTGTCACCCCGTCTATGTATTTGCAGTGCATTGTTTTTCAATTCGAATGAACAGCTCACTCCAGAGAACAGTGAAGGAAAATAGGAGGAAAAGGCGAAGGGAAGAAAGGTCAAAAGGTCCAAGATAAACAAGAGAAAGGATAAATATGGATAAATACTAGCGTCCTTGTTACTACTAGTAAGGCACTTGTTACTAGTAGCGATGCACTTGTTCTAGAAGCTTCTTGAAACATAAACGTAACATGGCTGTTCATTGCTATTTTTATTGCTGTGTGTGAAGAATATGTCCGTCAGGTGACAGGGGATTTGACTGCAGTATGCGTCTTAGAGAGACGACTTGACACACAAAAAATGAATACTGTAGCAAGACACAAAATAGAGACACAATGACGATAAATGAACAAATCAGAAAGCAAAGGACAAACACTAAATAAAGTAAGAAAATAGACAATGATAATAAACTAAGCAAAGCAGTGCTGTGCAAGTTTGAAGCAACAAAGGATTCGGTTGAGGTTGGCACAGCGCTTTCCCTGAATTCCTTTTCACAGGTCCCTGCTGAAGCAGCTGAGGAGCTCGTGAAACGTGTTTGCCTCAACAAGAGAAGCATGGACTGATAGTGAGCAGCTTGAAACCGGCTTGTTTATTCTTCTCAAGACTGCACAACAAATTGCATAGTTTGAGGTTTTGGTGGCTGGTGCTACGTAGAATCTTCTGCTTTCTTCCCGGACACAGTGCAGCTGGTCGTGCACGAAGCCTTGGAAGCGGCATCGTCCTACTACAGGCGCTACAGGGCGACGGGCTTGGGCACCACATGCGTTTTTCGGGTGCCACAGGTGCGCGTATGGCCACCGCCTTTCGTGTGAGCGAGCGTTTCGTTCCTTTTTTTTTGTGTTTCCTGTTTTCTTTGGACCTTTAGACCTTCCCCTTTTTAAAGACCTTTCTTGGTTGTTCCCCAATGAAAAAGGTACTACTCCTTTTGCTTCCTTCTCCTTCCTTCTCCTCCTGCCATGTCCTCATGTCACAGCGAGTGTCAGCTCATAGTCTGAGAACGCGTGGACTTGCAAACCAACAAGAAGACCTAGCCAAACTGGGCACGCACGGACCTGCACACCATAGAGAATGCCAGAAGGAATGCCAAATGCCACGAGATATGCCAGAAGATGTGCCGGGTAGAATGCCGGAAAGGATGTCAGAAGATATGGCCGTGGGTTAAAACTTGGAGCTCCAAACCCTGGGTAGTTTGATCTCCCTGGTTGTTTGTTCTGTTCATTTTTGGCGGTCAAGCAGGGTTCCCGCTTTTTTGGCCCACTTCCATATGTCAGGTAGAACGCCACAAGATATGCCAGAACGGATGCCAGTTAGAATTCCCGTAGCTTTGGCATGTAGGGTGCCAGATCACATGTCAGAAACTATGTCAGAGCATATGTCGGAGCTGCGAATTTGATGTCTTGTTCATGAGTTGTTCCCCATGATTGCCATTCACCGCCGCCATATCTCCCAGAAGGGTGGGAACTTCGAGCTCGCTTAGTGAAAAGGTTTGGAGCGCAGCCCCGTGGTAGATCCAGGGTTCCAAGGCTCCACAACCAGCCTTTCGCATTGGTAGCGACAGCTGGTCCACGGCTGTTGCGCTCCTGAGCTGCCATGTGGATGTTCGATGAGGACCTCGATGATGACCTCGAGGAGATCGATGAAGCAGCCGGCGCTTGGGATGCTGATCCTGTTGACCCAGCCTTCACGGCCTACGAGGCTGGTGGCGCGGATCATGGTGGAACAGGTGACTCCGAGACCTATGACTTCGGAGAAGGAGAGAGCGCCCTTCGAGCACCTTCGAGCAGCCCTTCAACGACGAGGCGCCGAGGACGACGTGGCTCAGGGCATGGCGGCAGCAATGCCGGTGGTGGCCAGAAGAAGTGGCGCTCAGGCCACATACCCCCACCTCCTGCCTTTGCAGGAGATGTGGAAGGAGACCCTTACTGTCTCCGCCACTACAGGCGGGCTCTTGAGCGGTGGTGCTTGATCACATCCGAGTACCTCCCCAAGAGCGAGCAGGCACTTCGAGCGCTGGACGCATTGACTGGAGATGCAGCGCTTGAGGTGGAAGAGATCCCGGACTCGAAGTACTTCCGGGATGATGGCATCGAGATCCTTCTCAAGGACTTGGAGGTCGCCTTTGGTGAACGCGAGATTTACCGCCGAGGTGGCCTGATCCGGGAGTTCGAGAACCTCTCGAGGATGCAGGGTGAGAGCGTCGACGCCTTCGTACGACGCTACAAGCTGTACGAGAGGAAGCTCCAGGACGCGAAGATTGCTGCCTATCCCTCCGAGACGAGGGCAGTGAAGCTGTTGGACGGTCTTCGCTTGAGCGAACAGGCCACTTCGCAGTTGCTTCTCGCGGCCGGCAATCGCTATGACATGGACGCGATCCTCAATGCCCTCAAGGTGCAATATCCTCCAGGTCTCACTTTGACTGGCCTCACACGACATCCCACTGCGATCTCAACCCACGTCAAGGGTCGAGGCCGGGGCAACCACGGCCGCGGACGAAGTCGATCTGGTGGGAGCTTCAAGTGGCGAACTTGGCACACCGAGGCCCAAGAAGATGAGATGCCTGAGGACAACACCGTCCCTGAGACCTTCACCGGCTATGAGGCCTACGAGATCTCGAATGACATCGCTCTGGAGAATGCCAATGACCTGTTGGACGATGTCTTCGAGTACCAGTTCGATGACTATGAGGCCGACCTTGAGGAGGGCCTTCCTGAGCAAGCCCCTGAAGAGGGCTATGATGACGGGCCTGAAGAGCAAGCTGAGGCCCTCACCGCCACCAGCAAGAAGATGGCATCAGCCACTCAGTCACGTGGCTACTACCTTTCGGCTGCTGCGAAAGGTAAGGGCAAAGGTGGTGGTGGGAAGGGAAAAGACAAGGGCGATGGTAAGAAGGGTTTTGGTTCTTCTTCATCCTCATCAACCTCCTTCCAGAAGGGCAAAGGTTTGGGCAAACCCTCCAAAGGTAGCACCAAGGGTTCTGGGAAAGGTGGTGGAAAGAACAAATCCTCCACCCAACGACACCGTCTTCAAGCCAGTTTGTGCCTTGGCTGCGGCTCGTCAGAGCATTGGTTGAGGGACTGCCCCCATGTGACTCAGCATCAGGCTCATGTTTGTGCATCCTCCACCACTCTTGACGGTGAGGGGATGGTTGTTTGGATGGTTGGCCACAACAAGATGCCGCTCGACGCAGAAGATGATTTGGCGACCCATGGCTTGGAAGAGTTTTTGCCCGAAGGCATGAATCCAGACGACGCCCTGGATGCTGCTGATGAGTGGACTCTATGGCAGATGGAGGCCCATCAGGCCAATGAATTTCTTGAGCGCCAAGCAGCATCCTCAGCGGCACCTTCCTTCCACACGGCCGTGACCGGCCCTTCGAGCTCCGAGTGGCGTTCGTGTGATACGCCACCGCCATCGTCCAGCCAGGGCGACCCAGAGGACTTTATGGATGCTCTGGATGACGCCTATTTCTGGCGTTTGGAAGCTGAGGGCTGCCTTTCTGAGTTGAGGCGATTGGAACAAGAAGAACAAAATAAAGGGGCGCGGACCCAAGGACCGCAAGAACGGAAACAAAATAGCGGGGTGCGGACCCAAGAACCGCAAGAACACAATAGCGGGAAGCAGACCCAAGAACTGCAAGAGGCAAGAGGCCCAGGGACGCGGACCCAAGGACCGCAAGAGCATAGGCTGCCGGTAGGTTCATCTCATGTCTCACCGGTGACCCTGGCGGGAACACCGTACCTAGCCCCTCGGGCTCCCCTTTCGGACCCGCCGCGGATTCGTTTGTTTGAGGAATGGCCTTCGAGCGATGACATTTCTGGCATGCCAAGGCGAGAGCCCTCGGTGAGGCTGCTCCGACATCCTTCTGGAGCAGCGAGCACCACATGTTTGTTGAGACAGGCGAATGCTTCAGTGCTTGTCACTACCTCCTCGCCTACCCCCTCACAGACCACTTTGACTCCTCAGACGGCGAGTTCATGCGCTGCTTTGGAACCGGAAGCACCGAACGAAGAAGGAGAGACTGAAGAGCTTCCGCCATCACTGAGCGTGACCATTCCTTCGATGACCACGTACGTTCAGTACAGCCAAGAACCTGCGTTGGTGATCATTGACACCGGCTGTCAACGACAAGTTGCCGGGAAGCATTGGCATGCCGCTCACCACGAGCTTTTGCAGATGCCACGACTTGCCTTTCCGGAGAAATGCCAGTTCAAGTTTGGGCCCAATCGGGGAACTTCGTCGACTACCCGGTATGCATATCCGTCGGGCATGGGAGGACACTTCACTGTTTTGTTTTTCTCTTGTGTTTCAGATGATGCTCCGGCCCTCATGTCTCGGAACACCCTCGCCACTTTGGATGGTTTGGTCGACATTTGCCGGGGTGAAGTCATCTACCAAGCCCTCCAAACGAAGTCACCCCTCTATCTAACCAGCTGCGGACACCTGGCTGTGAGAATCGACGAATGGCCATCAACTATGCCGTCATGGCCCTGCACCATGCAAGGGATTGATGATGAACAGAACTTGCCTGATATTTGGGCTCCCGCAGCGCTACCTGTTCAAGCCTCAGCTTTGCCCAGCGCTCGCTTTCCTTTGCAAAGACCCCCACTTGCTGATGCAGGGCAAGACTCCACCGTCATGGCTTCGTCGATGGAGGCAGCTGCTGACACACCTCTTCAACTTCATGAACAAGGTGCTGAGGACGGCGTTGGGTTATGCCGCAACCTCGATGAGCCCCAATCTTCGGGACCGTGTGCTGCAGCAGATGCCACCCTGTACGGCAGTGACTATGATGAGCACCGTAGCTTTGTCATCGGTGCAGGCCTCGCTCAACCTCACCACCTACGAGGCCAAGCCAGAGGACTGTCGCCATCCACGAGGACTTCGTGCTTACGGGGCCGGCGGACAGTCTGCCAGGATCTGCGACATGTGCGGTTTTCGAGCAGTAGTCCACAAAGGACAAATGGTCCCAGTGGCTCCAAAAGCCAGCCCACATGCGAAGACGCCCTTGGATCTGCCGGACCATGTTGCCAAAGCTTCCAAGTCCAAGGCCAAAAGCAAAGCACAGAGCAAGTCCGCAGGAAAAGCTGGTTTATCCGGACAGTGGCCTTCTGGTTTGGGACCTTCCTCGCTTTCCTATCAGGACTCCTCCTCGACAGCGTCTCCGGGACTGGATCCTCTCCTTCTCAAGCAGGTGGAGGCACATGCTCTCAAGCAAGTGGAGGAGCAGGTGCAGAAGCGCTTGGAGCTTTTGGTGCCGAAGGCTGTGGCAGCACAGCGACAGCAGATGGAGGCGGATCAGGCTTCGAACATGAGCTGGGATCAGATTGGTGGCGGCCACTGGTGGAGTCCAGCCTCATGGGAGACCGACCACGACCACCAGGAGGAGGAGGACTTCGCTTGGAACCTGGAGGACAACGACGCGGAGACAGAAGGCCCCGAGCAGACCTTCGAGCAGATGAGTCTGGACGGATCAGGCCTCTGATCCATGGCTCAGCTGACTGGCCCCTGACGTTTGAAGACAGAGGCCTGACATGGCTGAAGCCCGGCAAACAGAAGCGGCTGCTCGGAACCATTCGACAGATGCAACAACTTTGGATGGTTGAGCTGAGCATCTATGACACCTTGGTTCAACAAAGCCGTTGGCTCCGACGCAGCAAGGCAGACCTGGTGGAGATCTATGCTGGTCATGGCAACATCTCTGAGTATGCCCTCGGCAAGGGACTGAGAGTT